ATTAGTTTGATCTAGTGATAACCAGAGTAGCAATCTAGAAAGCACAGGAGCTCACAACTAGTTGTAGAATCTATGACCTCATCTATGCGAGGTAAGCCGAAGGGGTCTTTAGGGCAATGCTTGTTGAGATCGATGTAATCAACGCACATTCTCCATTCTTTATTCTTCTTTCTTACAAGAACCAGGTTGGCAAGCTAGTCCAGATGGTACACCTCTTTTATGAAATCGACGACTAAGAGCCGGGTTATCCCTACCCTAATAGTCTCATTTTTGTCTAGCGTGAATCGTCAAAGCTTCTCCAAAGATCCGGCGAAAAGAATATTGAGGGTGCTCCATCCATCGATGAGGACCTTCTAGAAGCGCACGTCCTTGATTATGGGATCCAGGATGAGTGGGAAATGCCCTGGGTATGGGATGTCCGACCACTGATCGGCCCTGGAGAATGTGATCGTGTGCTCCGACTAGTCGAGATACTTCGGATCAGAGACGGGGCCATCATATGTAGTTGACCGGGATAGGAGTCTACATATCCGTCCACTCGGCGATAAAATCGGCGAGTGCTTACGACTTGATCATGTGGCGGGGCCTAAAATCAATGGTATAGGTGCCGAGCTCAACCACCCATTTGATGATGCGGTCGTTGGCTTCCTTATTGCGGAGAATGTCACCGAGCGGATACTCCATGACTACCGCTATGTGGTAGGCATCGAAGTAGTGGCGAAGCTTCTAAGATGTGACAAGGATGGTGTACAGTAGCTTCTAGACTTGCGGATAGCAAGTCTTAGACTCATTTAAGACCTCACTAATGAAGTAGACTAGGCGCTAGACTTTGTATGCGTGGTCGGCCTCTTCTCGCTCAACGACGATGGCGGTGCTAACTACCCGGTTGGTCGCTGCGATGTAGATTAGTAGGGTCTCATCCTTTTGGGGGTGGTCACGATCGGAGGTGTGGTGAGGAACTGCTTGAGCTTGGTGAATGCCTTGTCAACGTCCTCCGACTAGATGAATTTCTCTTGAGCTTTAAGTAGCTTGAAGAAGCAGAGTCCCTTTTTGCCCAGGCAGGATATAAAACGACTTAAAGCCACCATGCACCCTGTTAGCTTCTGGACATCTTTGACACAGGTCAGTGGCTTCATGTTGGTCACCACCGCTATCTTCTCTGGGTTGGCTTTGATGTCGCGGCGACTGACAATGTTGCCTAGTAGTATACCGGACAGAACACCAAAAATACACTTGGTGGGATTTAGCTTCCATCGGTACAAGTTCAATGCTTTAAAAACTTCGGTGAGGTCGGTGATGAGGGTGTTGGCAGTCCTGGACTTAACTACCACATCATCAACATAGGCCTCGACATTCTACCCAATTTGGTCCTTGAGACAACGCTGGATGGCTCTTTAATAAGTCACACCCACATTTTTAAGTCCGAAGGACATGGTCGTGTAGCAGTAGGCACCGAAGGGCGTGATGAACGACGTGTTGATCTGGTCTTCTTTCATTAGTTTGATCTAGTGATAACCAGAGTAGCAATCTAGAAAGCACAGGAGCTCACAACTAGTTGTAGAATCTATGACCTCATCTATGCGAGGTAAGCCGAAGGGGTCTTTAGGGCAATGCTTGTTGAGATCGATGTAATCAACGCACATTCTCCATTCTTTATTCTTCTTTCTTACAAGAACCAGGTTGGCAAGCTAGTCCAGATGGTACACCTCTTTTATGAAATTGGCGACTAAGAGCCGGGTTATCCCTACCCTAATAGCCTCATTTTTGTCTAGCGTGAATCGTCAAAGCTTCTCCAAAGATCCGACAAAAAGAGTATTGAGGGTGCTCCATCCATCGATGAGGACCTTCTAGAAGCGCACGTCCTTGATTATGGGATCCAGGATGAGTGGGAAATGCCCTGGGTATGGGATGTCCGACCACTGATCGGCCCTGGAGAATGTGATCGTGTGCTCCGACTAGTCGAGATACTTCGGATCAGAGACGGGGCCATCATATGTAGTTGACCGGGATAGGAGTCTACATATCCGTCCACTCGGCGATAAAATCGGCGAGTGCTTACGACTTGATCATGTGGCGGGGCCTAAAATCAATGGTATAGGTGCCGAGCTCAACCACCCATTTGATGATGCGGTCGTTGGCTTCCTTATTGCGGAGAATGTCACCGAGCGGATACTCCATGACTACCGCTATGTGGTAGGCATCGAAGTAGTGGCGAAGCTTCTAAGATGTGACAAGGATGGTGTACAGTAGCTTCTAGACTTGCGGATAGCAAGTCTTAGACTCATTTAAGACCTCACTAATGAAGTAGACTAGGCGCTAGACTTTGTATGCGTGGTCGGCCTCTTCTCGCTCAACGACGATGGCGGTGCTAACTACCCGGTTGGTCGCTGCGATGTAGATTAGTAGGGTCTCATCCTTTTGGGGGTGGTCACGATCGGAGGTGTCGTGAGGAACTGCTTGAGCTTGGCGAATGCCTTGTCAGCGTCCTTCGACTAGATGAATTTCTCTTGAGCTTTAAGTAGCTTGAAGAAGCAGAGTCCCTTTTTGCCCAGGCGGGATATAAAACGACTTAAAGCCACCATGCACCCTGTTAGCTTCTAGACATCTTTGACATAGGTCAGTGGCTTCATGTTGGTCACCACCGCTATCTTCTCTGGGTTGGCTTTGATGCCGCGGCGACTGACAATGTTGCCTAGTAGTATATCGGACAGAACACCAAAAATACACTTGGTGGGATTTAGCTTCCATCGGTACATGTTCAATGCTTTAAAACTTCGGTGAGGTCAGTGATGAGGGTGTTGGCAGTCCTGGACTTAACTACCACATCATCGACATAGGCCTCGACATTCTACCCAATTTGGTCCTTGAGACAACGCTGGATGGCTCTTTAATAAGTCACACCCACATTTTTAAGTCCGAAGGACATGGTCGTGTAGCAGTAGGCGTCGAAGGGCGTGATGAACGACGTGTTGATCTGGTCTTCTTTCATTAGTTTGATCTAGTGATAACCAGAGTAGCAATCTAGAAAGCACAGGAGCTCACAACTAGTTGTAGAATCTATGACCTCATCTATGCGAGGTAAGCCGAAGGGGTCTTTAGGGCAGTGCTTGTTGAGATCGGTGTAATCAACGCACATTCTCCATTCTTTATTCTTCTTTCTTACAAGAACCGGGTTGGCAAGCTAGTCCGGATGGTACACCTCTTTTATGAAATTGGCGACTAAGAGCCGGGTTATCCCTACCCTAATAGCCTCATTTTTGTCTAGCGTGAATCGTCAAAGCTTCTCCAAAGATCCGACAAAAAGAGTATTGAGGGTGCTCCATCCATCGATGAGGACCTTCTAGAAGCGCACGTCCTTGATTGTGGGATCCAGGATGAGTGGGAAATGCCCTGGGTACGGGATGTCTGACCACTGATCGGCCCTGGAGAATGTGATCGTGTGCTCCGACTAGTCGAGATACTTCGGATCAGAGACGGGGCCGTCATATGTAGCGACCGACATGACGCGTCGGGCTACGAGCTTCTACTCTCGCTTGTCTTTGGAGATAGCCCTCCCACCAAAGATGGTAGCAACGGTCTTGGTGGGATCCTGGTATGTAGGGCCCTTGTTCTTGCCTCGCTCTCCACCTTGACCATCATCGGTCTCATCGTTGTTGCGTCGCTGCTTCTTTGATGGTTCTCCCCTGAGCGTAGTCCTCAGGTCCCTGCACTCCCGCATGGTGTGCTTGGCATCCTTGTGGATAGGACATGGGCCGTCGTAGGTGTGCTTGACATGGGTGTTGATGGTGTTGATGGAGGTATCAGGTTGGTGACGATGGCTTTGTCTGCCTCTAGAGCTCTCTGGACGATCGTCATGCCGGGGGTCGCGGTCATCGTGACGGCGATCATGGTCGTCATGACGGTCATGACCATCGCGGCGGCAATCGTGATTGTCGTAACGTGTGTCTTCGCGATGAGCGGAGCGGGTAGCCTATTCGGCTTCTTCGACGTTGGCGTATCCATTCGCCGTTTGTATCAGCTCGCCGATGGTGGTGGGTCTCTTGCAGTACAGCTTATCGTGAAGCTGCTCGTGTCGGAGCCCTTTGGTGAAGGCAGCGATGGCCTCGGCATCGGTGATGTTGGGGACGGAGTTTCTTGTCTTCAAGAAGCGCCTGATGAAGTGGAAAATCTTTGGCAATCAGCGTTCTTCGCTAGACGAGTGCCTCGCTCTTCAGCGGTTTCACCCTCCTTGGTAACACTATCATGGCTGACGTGGAAAATCTTGCCCCTGAACCCTGAAGGGAAAGTAGGGCAGCTCGACAGGGTCTTGGTCGAGCCCTCGGAAGAATCATCGGGGCTTTCGTCCAAGACGTGGTGAAGAGATTTGGTCATAATATGGGAATCCTCCGAGAGCTGACAAATGGCCACCATGTTGACCACGTGCGCAGGCTGATCGGAGTCAGTTGGGTCAATCACGTAGATGTCAGTGACGCGATTGCGTTCGACGTGGTCGGCGAAGATGTGGTGGACGGCAGTTCTACAACTAACCGGGGTTAGGGTTCGACCACAGTTCCCTATCCGCCTTATATAATCCAGGGTTAGGGTTCCATGCCGATTAGATCTACAACTAACCGGATAAGAATTTCCAGGAAAGTGTGTCTGTCTGATGTGAGAAACACTTGTTGGCTGCTGCTCAGTGCACCGCGTTTGCCTGCCAACGGGCTCGCACCTGATCACTAGCCGCCTACGTAAGCAGCGACGTCACGCGTTCACCCTCCCGTTGACCAAAATACCAATTCACTTCTTCTGGCACTTCTCCTTCCTCTCCCCCAAGCAGCAGCGCCAGCGTCATCTCTGACCTCCTCTCTCCTCTCCCGGTCGTGTACAAGTAGCAGCCTGCAGCAGGCAGAAGGTGCACATCCATCAACCATTCCTAGCTGCTGAGCTCTCGGTCTCGCCCGCACTCAAGGAGCTAGAGCTAGTCGTAGCACTCGTCAGAGAAGAGCAGAGCAGGGGAAGCCATGGCAGTGAAGGTGTACGGGTGGGCTATCTCGCCGTTCGTGTCGCGGGCTCTACTGGCCCTCGAGGAGGCCGGCGTCGACTACGAGCTCGTCCGCATGAGCCGCCAGGCCGGCGACCACCGCCGCCCGGAGCACCTCGCCAGGAACGTACGTACCTCAGCAGCTCAGCTCCTTCCCTCCCTCGACCCACCATGAATTTGCTTGTTGGTTTCAGTTTCACTCCGCTCATCGGCCCTGACTGACACGCCGCTCCTGTGCTTAATTGCTGCAGCCTTTCGGGAAGGTGCCGGTGCTCGAGGACGGCGACCTCACGCGCTTCGGTAAGTTCATCATCAATTCATCATCCATCGGAGCAATCACTTTGAATACTCCTCCGTATTCAAAATACTAGACGTGCTGGGAAAACAGCCCATTTTCGTATAAGCTGACCTTATGGCCTCCCGATGAAAACATTGGACGTGAATGCCCTTGCCCATGCATGCGCCGCCGCTTCCGTTCCTCGCCCTCGGTACTTGCAGCAGAAGCACGCGCGCCTCCTCTCTTGGTCTCCCGACGCAGCCACGCCTCCTCGCTCCTCCATCGCTCCGTCTCGCAGAAACTCTGCCGCCGCCGCCTTGTTAGGGTTTAGCCTTCGCCATGGATTCCTGCCGGTGGAGCCTCGATCGCCGCTCGGAGGAGGTGCTCGCACACGCTCGACGCTCGCCGGTCTCCGCGGACGTCGCGCCGGTCTCCGCGGACGTCGTGCCGCACGCTCGCCCACGGTCGACGCTCGCCGCGCACACCGTCTCAGCCTCGCTGGTGGTGTCGGACTCCGACGAGGTGCTGCAGGACTCCGACGCGGTGCTGCCGGACTCCGACGAGGTGCTGCAGGACTCCGACGCGGTGCTGCCGGACTCCGTCGAGGAGGTGCCCGACTCCGATGAGCTGCTGCCGGACTCCATCGAGGTGCACCTGGAGTACGATGCGGTGCTGCCGGACTCCGTCGATGTACTGTCGGACTCCGACCAGCTGGACGAGGTGGTGCATTGTCCTCGCTGTGGCACGTTCCGTGCCGGTGGCGTCTTCGGAGAGGAATGCTACCAAGCTCGCCGCGAAGCTCGCCGGTGTGCCCGTTGTGGCCTCTTACATGAAGACTACGATATGATAGCAAAGTGGTTGGACTACCTGGACAAGTTCGACTGTGAGATCTACATCCCAGATGTCTCCAAACTTCAAATGGATGGTAACACCATCATTCTGCCAGAGCACGTCATCAACAAGTTGGACAAGATCAGAGATGCAAAGAAGTTGGAACTTGCAAAGCTCAAACAAGATGCAAACAAAGAACAATAAGGTACTACATGTCTTTTTCTAATTTGCTACTACTGTAACGTGTTTGCATCTTCTAACATGCTTGCTGCTATTACAAAATCAGTAAAGTGCAAAAGCTAACTTGCTTTTTCTAATGCTTTCATGCAGGGAGACTTGCAATTGCTTCGTCTAGCCAGGAAGCTTCACAAGGGATTTGCAATGGCAGCCTATCTTCCCTCTCTAGTCTTTGTTTGTTCAAGTGAAGAATCTTTATATTGTTGCAACCTTTAATCTTCATTGCTTCCTTCAAAACAGTTTGTAGTGTTACAAATATCCTGTTTGCTTTCCATGGACTGTACTCCAAGAATGCCTACAAGAAATGTGTTCAAGAAATTAGATCTTTCATTGTCTTAGAATCTTTATTGTATTGAAACAATCAAATGGATGATCATTTACCTGCTGCACAACTGGAATTAGATCTTTTATTGTCTTAGCATTTTTCTTGTATTGAATAGCTTGAATAGTTGTATCATGCTTGCCTAGTTTGCCATTTTTGCTTCTCATCAACAATGCTTGGTACACTTGTTGTCTAACATGATCAGAATAGTCATGCTTCGGTTGGTTTACTTGATCGGCATGTTGTTCTAGCAAAAGGAAAAAAACAACCATTTTAATAGTACTCACGGCATGTTCACGGCATGATCTATTTATAGGGAAAAAAACAAAGACACTGATATAATAGATGTTCACTGCATGTTCTATTTATAGGGAAAAAAACAAGCATGTTCATGGTAGTAATAGTAGTCACGGCGTGATCAAAATATAGGACTACAACAAGCATTTTAATGGTACTCAAGGAGTGAAATAAATATAGGAATATGTACATACTCAAAAAAATAGCATGATGTAAATATAGGCATGCGTACCATGGGGGTTATGTAAATAATCAAAATCTACAGCTCCAAATTCATCTAGTGGCAAGTTCAAATCAATTCCTGTCCAAAAATAAAAGAGCATGCTGAGAATGGAACCTAATATGCATGCCATGCTCCACTGGATACAATGAAACAATTCATGTCCAAAAAGAAAAGAACATACCGTTGCCCGCCGTCATCATCTTCATGCTCTGCGAGATGAAACTCAGTATTGCCATCGCCATCTTCATGCTCTGCAACATGAAACCGTTGATGTCGTTGAGATCCCACGGTAGGTTGCCATCGCGCACACAGAAACAACAAAACAAAATGGAACTAATAATAGATGGTTACCGCTGCCGTCGTTGAGATCCCACGGCAGGTTGCCGTCCTCTTCTTCTTCTACACGAACGTTGAGATCAAAGCCAGAGAAGTTATCAGCCATTATGCCGTAGTAGTAGATGTGCAAGGAGAACAGCTAGTCCATGGCGGCGTAGTAGCACCAAGCAAGGCAGGGAAGGCAAGGGAGTAAATGGCGTTGGAGAAGAGAGAAAGCAAGTTGCCGCATAAATAAGCCGGTGGCGTGGAGTACAGGCAGCTCAAACGTCGGTCTTCTCATTCGAAACGAGCGCGTACCATCAGCTATCCGAGCGCGCAGACGAAATAAGAAAATCAAACAACCTGAAACGCGCGCCAAGCGAAAATGCAGGCCCCCAAGCGACTCCAGCTTCCATCCACGCGAAAAAGGACGCGGCACGCCGGTGGAACAGTGGCATGCACGCCCATGCAGAATTCCCATGCAAAATGAAGGGGCAACAAAAAAATGTGGCTGCCAGGGTTCGAACCCGAGTCGCAGCACTCATGCCTCTACGCACTAGCCAGTTGGGCTGAGTTACTTTCTCGCAAAGATAGCACCCGCAACCATATTTATTACGGGCAAAGATGGAAAACTAACCCCTAATTAATCATCCTTGGTTACCGCAATCATGTCCTAAACGTTAGGTTTTTTAGGTATGGAGGGAGTATGAAATAGAATCACAATTCATCATCCATCGGGCATGTCATATCTACTCCTTATTCTTTCCAAATTATACTCCCTCTGTCAAAAAAAAGAAATCTCTTTAAATAGATTTATTATAAAAATATATTTCGTGATTAATATAGTAATATTTACATAATAAATATTAATTTGTTGTATATATTTAGTTGAATTTAAGATTATTTAACTCATTTTTAGGATTACTTAAATCTTTAAGATGTGAGATTTACATTTTTTAGATAGATGGAGTAATTCACAGTTTTATCCTAAGTCAACCTTTTCAACTTTAAGTAAGTTTATAAAAAAAAATCACAGTTTTATCCTAAGTCGACAGAAGGACATGGTCATGTAGCAATCTAGAATGTTGAGAAGCTAAAGAAAGTGCTAAAGGTGTAGGAGGCGCGGCTGAGCCAGAGCAGGTACCTCGCCAGCGACTTCCTTAGCCTCGCCGACCTCAGTCACTTCACCATCATGCACTGCTTCATGGCCACCGAGTATGCCGCTCTAGTCGAGGCCCTCCCACATGTCAGGGCCTGGTGGAAGGAGCTCGCCGCGCGCCCGGCAGCCAAGAAGGTGGCCGAGTTCATGCCGGTCGGCATGGCCGGGGCACCCAAGAAACCGGAGTGATGACGAAAAGTGATGTGTGTTGTGTTTAATTACTTTCTCATGTGGTGCCTCTGTAGTTTGTGTATTTGTCTTTTGCTGCTCTTCCTCCACAGGATGACAGTTATTTGGAAATTTAATGTACATTTCATCACATTTAGCAAAAATATTTCATTGGATTTCATATGTCTGTGTACCAGATATAGTCATCAAATTTGGCAGACAGCCGGCCAAAGTTTTTTTTTCAAGAGGTGGCTTTCGCGACAGCCTAACCAAGCAACTCCAGAAGTCACCTGCTTTTATTTACCCAAAAAAAAATCGCCTGCCAACTACACATATAAATCAATTTAAAGTGAGTTCGAGACCTGACTTCAATACTGGAATTTGATTTAAAAAAACAAAAAACAACAACATTGCTCCAGCGCTCGATCGTTGGCCGTGACACATACCAACGCAATGGCACTGATTATTAATTTTAAATTTTAAATTACATTGAAACTCTCTGCCAAGAATTTTGTTAACTGTTACTTTAGATAAGTGTATATAATTTAACTGAAACATTATGATATATCAATACTAATAATTTAAATGTAGCAATGTTTTTTTATAAAACAATGTTACTATGAATACTATTCTTTAGTAGAAGAAATTTAACATCTTGAGTGTTATGGTGCCGACCTGAAACGATTGTTAATAAATACCATAGAAGTAACTAGAGTACTCTAGTCTAGGACCTAGAATCTAAAAATATAAATGAAATAATGAAATAAAAATACAACAGAGCATTAAAGTTTGAACTTAACAATTGGATGAAAATTACAACAATTAAAGATCAAAAGTTAAAAGCCAAATAGGACCCATAATGTCATAAAATGGAGTATTGATAAAAAAACATTACAATAATTAATAAGATCAAAAGTTGAAAGCCAACGTATTAGAATCGAGATGAAAGCACGCAAATACATAGAGTATAGATTATCTTGATAGAGATTATAGATTATCTAAATAGGCATTGTAGTAGGAAATAAATAGAGACACTAAAAATATCCAATTTTGATTAGTTTAACGTACTAAAATTCATCATAAAACTTTTAATATTTATGTAACACAAGATTATAGGTCATGTTGCAGCACAGATTATTGTTCAACTAGTACCTACTTTCCTCCATCCCAAAAAGAATGATCTGTGATTTAAATCTTGTCTCAAAATAAATGTAAACATGGATTGGAGATGAACTTTATATTTGGGATCCATCAATAAAAAACACCACATGCAATTGAAAAACTCTGAACTTGCAATGAATACTCTAGATAGTTCGATTACTTCTAAGCTCCGGTGTGGGGAGAAGGATATAGCAGGGGCACTTGCGTAATTTCACACTTCTAGTAATCTAGCCTCGAAAAGTGTGATTTACATGGTTTATGGGACGGATAGAGTACCTATTATGGATAATGGACTTGCTAGCGCCCGAACGCTGCCGCGCACATAAGAGAGCCTGCACCCGCCGGTCACTACAAGAAATGTGCTATCTTTTGACATTGATATATGTCACAATACCTGTAAAATATGTCATAGGTCACCATTTATGACACCAAGTTGACGAAAAATCAAATGTCAAAAGATGAGCGTCTTTAATGACAACTTGTGACATTTAAGTGTTAATGTCGTATCATTATGACATTGATTTTGAACGTCATAACCTTTATGACCTTTGCTTTTATGTCACAAGTTCTTTTATCTTGCCAGGTGGCAAATTCCATACAGCCCAATATTTATTTGGACATCATTCAAGGCACACAGCTGCACAAACAATCCAAAATAACATGTGTGCCCGACAATATATTCCATTCATGATCAAATCCATAGGTTCACAAGTCATACATCAACATCTTTATTAAATTCATCATGAACACCAAACTAATTGTTCAACAAGTCACCTTAGTCACAAAGGTTCTTAGATAAAATAAACAGATGGATATTTGACATGTGTGTCTCACAAGTAACCTTTGTCACCAAACTAATAGTCCAACATATGGTGTTACCAGCTAGTTATTCTTGGTGTCGGGAGTAAATCCTTAGGTTGCTGGAATCTGTCCATGTCCTGCAGACGCACAACACATTAGAAGCAGCCATCACTTGTTGAAACAAATAAAATAGTCAGAAAAAGAACGTTACATATGTACTGCCGGAAGAAATCAAGCAACAACAATCTTTTCCACACTAACATATATTTAAACATATCTAGGAAATACACTAATTCACACTAAACATTCTCACACCAAGAATAAAGTTCAAATATTTGCTCTAGTCAATACTGAAAACTTAGTACATATTGACGCAGTCACAACTACATATGCAAATACTGTAATTGCTAAGAAGTGTAAAGCAGAGCATAGGTGATCGAGCTGAGCTGTTGCTAACAGCCAGCCAACTGCATCAATGTGACTGAACTTGCTTCTGGAAACTACAGGTTGCAATGGCGTGCTCATTTAAGATGCATTTGTGACTAAATTATCTAAACTCTAAATTAGCATGCTAACTGACACGCTGCAGTAAAGTATTTTCTAGGCTGCTCACTTCGTATTCTTGTTGACAGCTTTAGTTGGCAAAGGGGAAGTCTGAGAGCGAGTACCAGCAGCAGCCTCAGATTATTAGTAGTTGATCATGTGGCAGAGAAGCAAATGGCAAGTTTCTGGACAGTTATTAGTAGCCATTCCAGGACACATTGCTCTACTGTCAAGCATTTTAGTTGCTGCACAGAACAGAACATTGACAAAAACTCTGCTGTTTTCACAGAGCCACTACTGTAAACATCTTTTTGGATACTGAGAAGAAGAACTCTGTTGTTTATGCATGAAACGATTCTTTTGTTCTACCAAAATTGTGATATTGTGCACTTTTAGATACTAAAGAGAACAGCAACATATATGGTCCATAGAGTAACAGCTATAGGTGCATGCACATATGATAGATAACCAGCACACCTGGTTTGATCTATTTTGTTATAGTTCATCAAAACTACTAATATCTAGTTTGGTTAGCCTATACAATTATTTTAGAGTGAAGTTTCATATATGCTCTAAAATAAAAAGTCAGGAGCTGTCATAAGCTAACAACCTAGAGCTGTTGTGAGGAAAGCTCTTAAATTTTTCTCAGACCATCTCGTGAAAAAACTTGCATTAATCTTTTTAACTTGTTGCCACTCAAAAATACTAAAGAGAACAATACAGTGAGAGGAACACTTCAAGATACAACCATATAGACAGACTAGAAAGAAGAAAAAACTGCTAGTGTGGATGCGTCGTCGCTGCCACTGCCGCCGCTATGAGATCCCGTTCGTGGAAAGAGAGGCTGAGGGGCGGGTGAACAGGACAGGATAAGATGGACCTGTGCAGGTAGAGGATAAGTGGGGAGGTGCATTTTCTTTTTATTTTTTATTAGGTGGACGCAGGGCAGGCGATTTTGAAGCTACTGTGCACGGACGATTGAAAGCAAAGGCGCCGACCAAAAAAAGTAGTACGCGCGAAATAAAATAAATTTTCTATATACACTCAAAATATGACAAGGAAACAATAAAAATCGATAGGGTTAGTTGTTTCCTATGTGAGTTAACAAAATCTACAAGATAATTGATATTTTTTCTGTGTGCTTGTGTGATACCGTTAAAGAAAATACTAGGCACACATCGAAATTCTTGTTTTGAGTATGTATACATGTTTATTTGAAAATAATAATGGAAGTTGGGCCCACATGCCACCTTGGAAAAACTGTATTTAAAAATGATTAAAATAATTCTTGTTTCCAGTTTGGCCTTTATGACACGGCAAGGATCGTCACCAATTGGATTTTGACTATCTATAAGACATTTTCTATGACATGAAATCGTTTATGTCACTAAGACGAGATGGCTTCTAGAAAAACGTCATAAACTAGTTGATAGTGACATTTACACGAGATGTCATGCCATAAATGTCATAGGATGACACATTTCTTGTAGTGTGTTTTCGCGCACCCCACCACGTGGTCCCCACGCTGCTTCCCGCCACTACCATCGTGCTCGCTCTGTTTCGTTCGATGACTGTCGTGCCCGCACGCGGAGAACCCACATGGGTCCCAGTCACTTGCCCTACCTATAGAGGCGTCTGCCGACCCTAGGCCCCTGCATGGTGACCCACGACGGCGCCCCAACAGCAGCGATAGGCATCTGCAACAGGTGGGTCCTATTACAACATGTGCAACATCTCGATCTACTTTTGTAATATCCAGATGAAAACATTTACAACATACGTCTGAAACAATTGAAACACTTGCAATCCATTGCAAAACATATGCAACATCCAGATCTACTTTTGCAATATCCAGATGAAACATTTGCAACATAAGTATAAAACACCTGAAACACTTGAAACATACTCTTGCAACATGCATGTCATGCAACATCCAGATATACTTCTACAACATCCAGATGAAACACTTGAAACATACGCTTGAAACATCTGAAACATATGCTTGCAACATTCGTATATAGCCATTACAACATATGCAACATCTAGATGAAACACTTGGACACATACATCTGAAACACCTGAAACATGACATTGCCGGCGGCCATGGCCTACCTTGTGGTGAACTACGGTAGTTAGCAAACGGTGCTCAAGTGTAGTGGAGAGCGAGGATAGCGACCGGCGGGCGGCTCGGCACAGTGGAGAGAGGAAGGATGGCGCCAAGTAGGCGCCCGGGCGTGCCGCAGTGGTCATCGTGGACCACCCGGAATCCGTAGCAGCGCAGGCTCAATAGCGAGGGGTGGCGCCCCGGTGAGTGGCCCCCGCGGTGGAGGCAGCAGCGGCTGTCAGGCGGGTGTGACCTCTTGTGGTGAGTCGTCCCCCGCTGCTAAAGAAAATCGAGGCGGGTTGGTGCTGTGCCCGCGGCGAGGCGTCCCCACACTAGAGAATGTTGCGGTGAGCAACCCCGCGCTGGAGAGGGCAAGCGACGGGTGACGGGGTGGAATCTACCGCGGCGGTCGATGGCATGGTGCGGCGGTGAAAGATGCCACGAAAGGGAGAGTGAGGAGGATTGGGGAATCGATGTCCAGCAGTTGTTTTTTAATAGAGAAGCACGGTCTGTTGGGCCTGTCCGTTGCACAGGCCTAGAAAGCCGTCGTCCGAACGATTGCCAGACACCCTTCGGGGAGCATTTCCATATGGATAATCATAGGCGACGTGTGGATATTATCAGTGGGATGTTTATAGTGATTTTGTCCATGTCAAAACGTGCCACCTCGATCACCTGAAGTCGCTGGTCGTAAATATAAAGAGAGATTGTTGAAATATTATTATAAGCATTAGAGAATGAGATATTATATGAATGAGCTATTATATGAATGAGCTACTATAGAATGTCTAGTAACAAGAGAGGATGTTGTTATGGCCCCGTTCGCTGGTCTGAAATTTGGCTGAAACTGGCTGAAAAACACTGTTCCGGCTGAATTGTTGTGAGAGAAAAATACTGTTTCGGCTGAAAAAAGAAGCCGAACAAACCATTTTTAAGACAAGCGAACATGGCTAATTAAGGCTTGTTTCCTACAGCTCACGTTGTTTTTTTTTTACAAACGCTCATTTTCAAAACAGTTCCCCCTACGAAGCTATTTTTCTCTTCTGATAAACACATAAGTTGTTATCAAACTGAAAATAGTAGCTTGTTCTAGCTTCATCTCCCATATTTGGACCCCACTGTACAAAAAAGACTCTTCTTGCCCCAAGAGAGAGAGAGAGCGCACGCGTGATGGAGGCGACAGGACATGGCTCGCCGGTGAGCAGGGGCGCGGCCACCAGGAAGCAGGGCGCGGCCGCCGAGGAGCCCAGGGTGCGCTGCCATCGGGGGGTCGTGGCTGGCTGGGGGGTCGTCGAGCGCTGGGGCGCGGCCGCTGGGGAGTCGAGGCGCGATCGTCGGGGAGCCCAGGTCACGGCTGAGCGGGCGCCGTCGCCACCGCAGAGCCAGCGCGAGCGCGGCCGTCGGGGTGCGGGCAAGCGTGAGCGGGCCGTCGGGGTTAGACTGGCAGCCAAGAAGAGAGAGAGAGCACGCTCGGTCGAGGGAGGTGCCGGCGCCGCCGAGGCACGACCGCCGAGCGTAGCCGCCGGCAGCGCGGCTCGTCGAGGCACGGCCGCCGGAGTGCGAAACGACGGGGGCATGGCTCGTCGGGTCTTGCCCTGCCGGGGGCGCAGCTGCCGGCGGTGTGGCTCGCCGCAGGCTTGGCCGCTGGGGAGCAGCTCGCCGGGGGCTTGGCTTGGCCGGGCACGGGCCGCCGAGAGGGGCGCCGCCTTGGGAGCGCGCTCCGCCGGGAGAGGTGTCGCCGTTGGGCGTTGTCCGCCGTGGGGAGCGCGTCCTGCCGGGAGGGACGTCACCGGGAGATGTGCCGCTGTTGGGGGCGCGGAACTCCGGGAGGGACACCGCCATGCGCGTGCTCGGGCGCGAGGTCACGGCTCGGCGTTGTGTCGCAAAGATTGTAGATGCGTACCTACGAAGAAGACGAAACAATAAAAAAGTAAAATTGAGATAAAGGTAATATAGTAATTTTATTCCTTTGTCTACCGTGTGAAGCTGTTTTGCCTAACAGTTTTTTTCAAACAACTCAGCTTCACTTAGAGAGCTACTCATAAAACTATTTAAAAAAAAAAAGCTTCATTAGTCAAATTGAGCTGTGCCAAACGAGACCTTATAAGCATTGGTATAAAGTTACTACTACAATAATGAAAAATGTGTCTAGATGTAGCCAACTAAGTATTTTGTCAGCAAATACTAGTACTAAATATCAGTACAAAGTTGAGCATCTTATCCATTTCCTAATCATGACGTGCTAATTAGTGGGACGGAAAATAGCGTCTCCTCCTCCAAAAATCACGACGTGCGTACGCAAGCAACGACGTCACGCTTGAAGCAAGGTTGACATGGTCTGCACATACGCAAGCAAAGACGTCGAGACAGCCTCACGGTGACCGATATCGTCCCTGCTGGTCTTCTCTGATTGATTTCTAGATACCCGCTGGCCGGCCGCCGCGGCCTGGCTGGCCTCCCGTTCAAATAGCGGGCGGCGGAGGCGGCAAGCTAGCACACATCCGTTCGCTCCACAGTTCACACGCCGGATATATCCCCAACTCCCACAATTCCAATTCCCAATTCCCACGAGAGCACACAAGCACAGCAGGATTCAGGAAGAGATCGAGCAGCGCAGACAAGACATGGCGGTGAAGGTGTACGGGTGGACGATCTCGCCGTTCGTGTCGCGGGTGCTGCTGTGCCTGGAGGAGGCCGGCGTCGACTACGAGCTCGTCCCCATGAGCCGCGACACCGGCGACCACCGCCACCCCGACCACCTCGCCAGGAACGTACGTATACTGCTACTGCTACGATTCGACGACCTTCAATTCCCTGCAAGTTCGGCCGGCATGCCCCTTTTTGGATTGGATTACATACTGACGACGCCCTTGCTGTCTCCTGCTCTGCTCGTGCTTTCTGATTGCAGCCGTTCGGGGAGGTGCCCGTGCTTGAGGACGGAGACCTCACCCTCTTTGGTACGCCCGCCAACCAACCAATAATTAATTCACTTCATCTCCTGTCCTCTCGCTTATCACCTCAGTCTCAAATTCTCATTTTGATATATAAGCATGTTTTAATTGTTCCGCTGCTAGGATAAAGGCTTTAACTGACAGTTATAATCTAATAAAAAATAAATGTTATTTTCAATACCAACATAAAAACAGAGTCAACGTTGGTAAAAACTTCTCAACGCCTCAAGAAATGAGTATCCGTACTTCCCATAAAGACGAACAGAAGATACTATAATGGGCGTGACTTTCAAAAAAGACGAACTAAAGAAATGATGAGTATCAGTACTTTTCCGAATTTTCCGATGCTCTGTCTGGAGCACAGGATTTTTTTTTTCTGTTTCTGTGTATTTTCTACAAAACTAAATTGATTTCTATGCAATTTCTATGTTCCAAAAAGAATCTGAACGTTCAGGTTCTTCTCTCGTTTCCAAATTTGCTAGTTAAGCTTATCCAGTCCCCACTTGGCCAAGTGTAATCGTCGACGTCCTCTTGGTACAAATAAGACTTTGGTTTATTTTTTTGGAAAAATTAAGACTTTGGTTTCACAACTCTCTCATTTGGCACCTAAACCTTCTTCGTTTTTTATGGTCACCCGAAACCTTGCTACCAGTACTAAAATGCACAATTTTGAATGCGTTAACGTGCTCTCTTATTCATGTTCTTTGTACAAGGTATATACTGCTATCTTTGATTCAGAATATGTCCTTTTCTAATCATGTCGATAGCTCAAACTTTTACCATCAACATTTCTTTACTTTTTGCTTCATCAAATATAGAGAGAGATACCAATGCTTCATGATGATATTGCTAAAGAAACTAATGGTCTTAACCTACATTTACCGACCAGTGGTAAACGATGAAGCAAATTATGAGTGTAAGTGGATTTTTTTTTTACAATTCCATGATCTAATTCTCATTAGCGTAAATATTAACAAATAATAACTCGACATGTTCACGTGAGAGTTGAGACTAGAGGTAAGGGTTGGCTAAAGTGAAACAATTCTACATGTTTTATATGGGAGTTAAGTGGCACAAAATACTTTATATGTGGTGTTCTTAAACCATGATACTTCTATGTGGTGTAAACTACAATTCACACCGGCTCGGAAATGTGTATCCATAAAACACCATAGCGGCATTTTATCCACCACCACAAAATTTTCTAACACATAATATACATATTTCTCTATTCAGAATCCCGGGCGATCGCGAGGCATGTGCTCCGCAAGTACAAGCCGGAGCTCTTAGGGTCCGGCAGCCTGGAGCAGTCAGCGATGGTGGACATGTGGGTGGAGGTGGAGGCCCACCAGATGGAACCACTAGCGGGCGCCATCATTGTCGAGTGCATCGTCGCGCTTTGTCCTACATGGCCGCTGAACGCAACCAGGCCGTCGTCGACGAGAACGTGGAGAAGTGAAGAAGGTCTTTGGAGGTGTACGAGGCGCGGTGGCGGCGAGAGAGTACCCGCCCGGCGACGTCCTCACCTCGCCGACCTCACCACTTCACCATCATGCACTACTTCATGGCTACGGAGCACGCCACGCTGGTCGAGGCACTACCGCACGTCGGCGCTGGTGGGAGAACCTCGCCGCCCGCCCAGCAGCTAAGGTGGTGGCAAAATTCATGCCGCTCGGCTCCGGGGTGCCCAAGAAACAGGAGTGATATAGTGATGCATGTTGTGTGCTTACTATATCTGGGCATCGGGCCGGCCCGGCCCGGCACGGCACGGTCATGGCACGATGGCTATCGGGCCAAGGAGGCACGCCGTGCCCTGCAGGCCGTGCCTCATCGGCCTTCGGCCCAGGCATGGGCCTATGGGCCATTTTTCGTGCCGTGCTGGCCCGTGAGGCACGGCAAAAATAGCAAGCCGTGCCAGCCCACAGCCCGTTAAATCTAAAACACCTCCAAATAAATATCTCAATCCATTTTTTTTCAACCATGAACACATAAGTATGAATTTTGACCAACACAATTTTTTCACACTTAGCCATTTAGGACACTTAGGCAATAAACAGCAGCAACAACAAGATGAAGACAACATATTTAAATATCAAAAAGAGCTGTCTACGCCAAGGCTAGTTGACGACGAGGCATCGGCAGCAGACCTACAAAGAAAAAGAACACAAAAAGAAGAAAAGGATGAGAAACGTATAGATCTTGGGGCTAGGGTTAGGGTTACGAATGGGGATGGACTTGCCTGCGCAACCGGAGCCCAGCGCCGGAGAAGACGAGGGCCACATAAGGGCAAGACGGGATTAAGAAGGACGGCGTCGGCGAGCGACGGCAGAAGAGAGACGGGGAGGCAGACTCACATGTTCATCGACAAACAGAGGAGAATGAGTAAAAAGGAAGACGGAGAGGGACTGAGGGAGCAGGGAACTCAGGGAGAGGTGATGGAGCGGCGGCGATATCACCGGATCCAAGGACGACGGTCGCACCGGCGACGAAGATGGATCGACGATAGGAGGCGAGTGGCGACGAGCGAGAGCGACGAGCGACCCGAGCGGGTGTCGAGTGCGGCGGCGGTTGGGAGGGGAATGGGGTTAGGGTTAGGGTGGGGGTGGGGGCCGGGGGGTCGCGGTTTATATATGGGGAGGAGGGCGGAGTTCTTGGGCCGGCGGCCGCCGGCTTGCTTGCCGTTGGGCCGCTACGGGCCTGCCGTTATTTTGCGGGCCGTGCCGTGCCGGGCTGTGGGCCTAGGGTGCGGCCCAAGCACGGCCTGCACCCCCGTGCCGTGCCAGCCCGGGCCCATTGGCCTTCGGGCCGGGCCGGGCTAGGGCCGGGCCTAAATAGCGGGCTCCGTGCCGGGCTCACAGGCTCGGGCTTTGTGCCCAGATATAGTGCTTACTTTTCCAGGTGTGGCGTCTCTCTGTGCTTTGTGTAACTTTCATATTTGTTCTTTTTTTGCTACTTTTGTCGATGAATACTGAGCGTTTGTATGAATAAATTTAATGTATTTCATCACATTTAGCAAAAAATAATAATATTTAATCACATTTCAGATTGCCCTGTAGCAAATTTCATTGAATTTAGCATTGGATATCGTAATGTCATCCATAACACTAGATTCTAATGTTGCGATAGCCGATGGCAGCTGGCAGACTTGACACCTTCCGCTCCAGAAATGTTTTAGAAATTGCAAGTATATTCTAAAGCATCTCTGGGATGCAGGGAATTTGAAACTTTTAGATGTTACATGCTCTAATACTAGCACATTGTAAACTTCTAATGACTTGCTATAAACTTTGTAGTTAAAACTTTGCACTCTAAGATATTCATAACTTTGTAGTAGAATTCATGTTTGAGAATTCTAAAAAGTAGTAACCTGAGCAATAGGGCAAACCTCAATATCACACTCTAATGTAATCAGTATGTCTGATGTGGCCTAAATGAGTATTCTAGGTTGTATTTTTTTTAACCTTGGAGTAAAAAATTCAAGATTCTAGGCGTGCATTAACGGAGAAGGAAAAGTAGGCAAACTGGTGACGCGCGACGTGGCTGGATGTTTGTGTTGTTTTGGCGTGGTGGCGCGCTGCACGATCGAAGTATGGTTCCCGTTCCGTGGAGAAAAGGGCCGGGACGCTGTTGTCGTCGATCACGGGTTCGGAGGAAGGTCTCTGGAGGACTGATGAGGTGTCACACATAGTTTTACAAAGAAAACCAAACTCGCTATAGGTATGTTCAGGAAGTCTACACATACAACAACAGAATAAATGGTATCAGAAACAATGTTATTAAATAACGTATACATAGCTATATTAACACTTACATCAGAGTATCGCGGAACCGTAACTAATCTTCAAACTCCATTCTTCACAGGGACGGCTGACTAGGGGTAACGTACGCCTAACACTTCCATCAGTCTTTTGAGAACTCCTCCATGTCTTCTTTAATCTTCTGAGCAACTTTTGCTAGAGACTGGGAGTGTGGGAGAAATAGAAAGGGTGAGCACATGTCGTACTTAGCAAATATAACATGGGCGAATGAAGGCTCAAAAGGATGACACTAGTTTACTGCGGTTAGCATTTTAGTAAGTCACAATTTTAACATTAATGTAGCATAAAGTTGTGCTTAAGCTCCGGTTCCCATATAATCATAAGTAATGGCAATTATACAATAATGATTAAATATGAGTGAAAGGATCAAGATGCCCAAGAGGGGAGTGAATTGGGCTAATTCTAAATTTCTTTGTAATAATCAAATCCGATGGTTAGCCTAATTAACCCCTTGTGCCTAGAAAAGTGTTTCTATTAATCTAACGCACAAAAAGACTTGCAACCTAAGTTCCAATCCTACTCTAGCATGGCAATTCTTTGAATGTAAAGACAAGTATTGAATTGCTCAAAGTAAATGCTCAAAGTAAAGAGAGGAGAGGAAACGCGGCGATGTTTTGCCGAGATATCGGAGAGTCGCCACTCCCCACTAGTCCTCGTTGGAGCACCCGCGCAAGGGTATAGCTCCCCCTTGATCCGCGCAAGGATCAAGTGCTCTCTACGGGTTGATTCTTTGACACTCCATCGCGGTGAATCACCCACAACCGCTCACAACTTGAGTTGGGTCATCCACAAGCTCCGCCGGATGATCACCAAACTCCCAATCACCACCAAGCCGTCTAGATGATGGCGATCACCAAGAGTAACAAGTACGAACTCTCATTTGACCACGACAAGCCTAATGAGAAGGGTAGATGCACACTTTGCTACTCTTGCTTCACTAATGACGGCTCTCTTTGGGATTCTCAAATCTCAATCACCTCACTAGGATCTTGCTCTTCTTGGCACTCTCTAAGGTATTTCTCAGCTGTTGGAATGAGCAAAAGTACCCCCACACATGAGTGAAGGTTGTATTTATAACACCGGCTGAAAAACGAACTGTTATGTGCCTCTGCGGGGTGACCGGACACTCCGGTCGTGTTGACCGGACGCTCCGGTCAGTTCACCCCAAACTGCAGTGATTAAGTAGTGATCGGACGCTGGCCAGCGTCCGGTCAGCACTGACCGGACGCGTCCGGTCGCAATTTACCCTCACTGGAACCTTACTGTACTCGATTGGATGCTGGACCCCCAGGGTCCGGTCAGTATTGACCGGACGCGTCCGGTCGCAGATTTTCGCCTCTAGAACCTTACTGGAGTCGATCGGACGCTGGACCCTCAGCGTCCGGTCACTCACCTTCAGCGTCTGGTCGCGCCAGATGCAATCTCCTCGGTCAAATGAACTGACCGAACCCTGAGCCAGCGTCCGGTCAAACCGGAGCCAGTGTCTGATCAATATTTGACCCTCCATTCACTGCCAACTCTTGATCATACGTGAATGAAGTTTGCTCCATTGGATCTAAGGGCTATTTTGGAGCTACCTAGTGCTAGACTTAGCAAGTGTGCATCACACCTAACTCACTAGACTCACCTAGGTCAAGCTACCTAGTAGCTGGCAAAGATGCTAAAGCGGTCCAGGTCGTAGCTAGGACTGGAGCTGCCTATGACTCTGAAGGTATGACTGTAGTAGGATATGATGATGCAACAGAAGAAGGGAGCCTCTCTGTAGTCACAGCGATGGGAGCTGCTGTAGAAGGACCTAGGGCATGCAGATATGGCGGTGTAGGCTGCCCTGTCAACTCGCTGAAAGTCACTCCAAGACTCCTAGAGACTGATGTATCTGGCGCTAGCAGCGAGGAAGTCCCTGCCGGTGTGAAACCTATCTAAAATGGAGTGAACTGCGGGGCTATCATTAGCGAAGCAAAATACTGGGACACCTGCTCTATAGGTGAAGCATACTGTGCTGGTGGCTGTCCCTGACTTTGAAGCCCACTAGGCTTTATCGCTGGAGTCATCGAAAGGGTACCATACTGACCAAGCTGGGGCAAAGGCTGTGGAGGTGGTGCCCTAATGGCAGTAACTACATGCTGCATGAATCCCAGAAGCTGCTGCTGCATGAGTAACTGCTGCTGATGCATCTGCTGCTGCTACTATATGGCCTGCTGCTATCTCTAAAACTCGTCCTGACGAGTCTGGAACTGTGCGAACGTAGCAGCGGTCTCATGTGCCTGTCTGGCCTGGTCCTGCCTCATCCGCTCAAGGATAGCAAGTAGAGCGGGATCCGTCTACGAGGCAGGTGGAGCTGAGCTAGAACTACCTGTAACACCCTCGGTGTTTGGCTTCTGCTAATTGCAATTCGTCTCATAAACATGTGCATCATTTATCTCATCATGTCATTTTCCCTGAAACATACATATGAAACATTCGCATATTCTGTTTGTTTCGTACTAGATTGTTTGTGAATGGTAGTAGTGCAACATAACAATGAAACATGAATTTCCCATGTCTTGAAGCATGGCAATAGGGTAGTAGTGTGACAAGTATAGTATAACAACAAGGTCACGCAACATGTGGAACATTGTATTGAAACATATGTATGAATTGCTTGTTTTACTTTCTTTATCACATGTGATCAGTAGAAGAGGTATAACAACTTTGTAAAATGGTTGATCATGGTCTAATACACCTTAACTATACTTAGTTTACTTGTTGGAACATTGTTCATGTAGATCAAAATGACCAAAATGCCCTCAAGTGCGATTTTGACTTGAATTGACCCTTGGAGTGTCATCGTT